CGCTACTAGGAGCAAGGACGCTACTAGGGGCTCCTGGCATCGCTACTAGGAGCAAGGGCGCTACTAGGGGCCCCTGGCATCGCTATATTAGGAGCAAGGACGCTACTAGGGGCTCCTGGCAACCCTACTAGGAGCAAGGACGCTACTACTTGGATGACCGCCCCGGTTTCTAAGTGTTAGGAGGTTTAGTAAATTAAATGAATTACAAAGGACTTATAAACCTTCTAAGGCGAATATAAGTTGCCTATGTGCGCGTAACCAGTTAGTAGTTTCTTGAACTATTTAGAAAGAATTGATAAAAGGTCTAACATGTTTGAAGACTTAGGAGTCATATTTTCTTAAATGTTCTAATCGGTTTAGGCTACTAATATAAGTCAGTAGGGTTGACTTAGCTAAGTGTTATAAGTCAGTTGTATGAACTTAGCTAAGTAGGCTAAGTCGACTTAGCTAAGTGGGTTAGTGGACTTAGCTAAGTCATCTAAGTCGACTTAGCTAAGTGGGCTAAGTCATTTAGAAGAGAGAAGACCTGGCTTTTTTATGTCTTGATTACAGAACTTAGCAACAGATTCTACGCCCGAAAAGGCGTGCGCTGTGCCCTTGTGCAGGGAAGCGCTGTACACAGAGCAAAGCCAAAGCACTCAATGTTTCCTTTTTTGAACTGATGTGATTTCTAGAACTCTTCGCTATATGATTGCACGGATGGGAGGTATTGTGAGTTTTTTGGTAAGAAATGGGGTCACCGTTTGCCAACCGCCGGCATGTCTGGACTGCCTCGTGGACGGGCATGCTGGCTCAGGCGCGCACCCCCCTTCAGCTCATGAGAGAGTTGACCGTATTTCGTCGAGTTTGTTTGCAACAGCTCTCCTCTGGTTCCCTGTTCCCACGCATAATTGAACGTTTTGTATATGTTCCATGTGTGGTTTCTTTACCGCAGTCTGGGGAAGTACACGCGTCCGTGCGTTTTGAATTGATATACTTACGTGCAGGGCTCTGGCTCGCACTTTGCGCAGGGTTCTCACTCGCGCGTTTTGCGCAGAATTCTTTTTTAGTGCTCAAGGGTCACGAATACACGACGAACAAATGCTTCAGACCCGAGAGGATATAACATGGCGCGCCACTGCGAAACAAACTATTAGGAGCTGGCTGGAACAGTGGCCCGATGGTCACGCAGGAGGAAACATTCATCCAACGCGCAAGACAAGCGCACTACTGCGTTGGAGGATCTGCCGCAGCAGGTGATTTTGTGCTTCTGGACTTGGAAGAGGGCGCTCAAGTCGGCGAAGTGATGTTCTTTGCAGCGAGCGATTCTGAAACATTTTTTGTGTGCGCAAATCTGTGGCTTGCTGAGGGAGCTCATGTCTTTCAGAGAAGTGAGAGACACGTGTTCTGCGAACTCGGCTGCGTTCAAGAATGATTGATTTTCAAGAAGAATTCCATCGAGAAAGTTTCTGTTGCCCCAAACACTATGTGGGCAGCGAGGTAGCAGTGCAAAAATTGCACAGTGCCAATGGCACGCCGGGGAAACCCGCGCTGAGCTGGGAGTATATATCTCCGAGCTGTCGATCGCAAAATGCATATGATCTTGGCCCCCTGAAAGGGAACAGGTTGCTATAAGGTTGTCGGTTTCTGTGTGAACCTCTCTTCCGCTTCCATTCTCGATGTTCCATCAGGGCGGGTCGAAACCCTGCCCTGTCAGCGAGTTCATTCACCCGGCTGTTTCCGTTGCGCTTTCCTTGCTTGTACTGATGTGTATCATGAATCAGAAGGTGTGGCCGAGCGCGCGCATTCCTTGGCTCAATTGCAGACGCTCGCGTCATAAACCTGCTTATTGCCCTCGTTTGACCATCTTGCCTGATGTAAACTCGATGAACAGCTATGCCGTTGTTTCCGGCCTTTGTGAGAAAGGTACCAAAAGCAAAGAGATTGTGGGACAAGCCGGAGTCGCTTAATTGGCAAGACCTCGACGAAGCAGAGGAACCAATCAGAGCTTTGTACCCTGTGGCTGTTGAGACCAGTCGCAGCTTCTTCCTGGACGACTATGTGTATGCGTATGAAGGATTGCGCTTTATCGTGCAGGACCATGCCTTTCTTGAAGGGGAGAACAGAGTGCTAGTGGAAGACATCGGCTATTACGACAAGAAGCTTGTGTTGTTTGCTTAGACTCGCTGAGTGGAGTGTGTGTGCATATATGTAAATGGGGCCGCTTTTGTTAAAAATGCGTCCGTCCATGCACTGCCAAATTTGTTTGAACTGAGCTTGCGTGCGCGTGCGCACGTATGTATGTGAGTTGCAGACTGCAGAGCTCAGTGATTGTATTTCTAGTAAATATACCATCACTCAAGTCCCAGTGATGTGATTCATCGGCGTGTGTATGTTCCCAGAGTTCTGAAGTGTGCGTCCTGCAGCTTTCGACTTTGTGGTAAGAGCTGGTTGTGAGCTAAGCGCCGTGCAGACTGCTCCAGATGAACGCATTGAGCGGATGGCTTTGCTGCAAGAAGTGCTGGCCCAAATCGAAATATTGCGGCGGGTGCTCAAAAACGGTTTGTCACCGCCTTTGACCAAAGTGGTGTTGCAGCTCCACCCGGATTGCGATCGCGCTCACGATCCCGGTCAAGGCGCCAAAATACCGCTGTGCGCAGAGAGGCTGAAGCTCGCGCTGAACTTCCAGAGACTTCAACTTCAGTGAGCAACGATCGTGCTGAGATGGAGGAAGTTGTTGGATTTCTT